AATATGGGGAAAAGCAAAATGAAAAAATTCTGGAAAAGGTTCTTATCGAAGGGAAGAGATTGAAAGCAGAATTCGCTCAGAAAAATGACGAGATTGATGAAAGAGATAGCGGGATTGTGCATGCAGCTACAGAGGCAACTGAACCAGACAGTGGAAGAAAAATTGTTTTTGATAACTTTGACTTTAAGCAAAATGTGCATCATATGACTGAAACACATCAAAATATTGATAATCATTGGGTCAGTCATATGTTCACAGAAAACAGAGTATCTGGCAATCATTTATCGACAGTGCGACCAAAGAATTCTGCCATCCTTGATCTTGACAATGGAAAGTTTATCCCCAACAAAGAAGAACACATGCTGCAGAGACAAAATTATTCTACTCTTGTGTCACAAATTATTGTGAGGAACATTGTTTGCTTACACTTTCTAAGTCAGTGTGCTCCACAGCATATCAAGCACCAGTATCAATCAGAAATGATGAAGAAAACAGAAACAGTAAGCTTACCTTTGCTTTATTTACTTTATACTTTATTTAGAAATGGTAAATACATTGCAGCCATGAGCTGAATTGCGTATTATACTTACAATTAAAAATTATTAAAAATTAGAGTTTTGAAATATATCAAAGTATTATAATTAATTATCTAAATTGTCAAAAGTGTCTGTTTATAATAAGCATGCAAAAGTTATTAAGAATATAAAATAGGTAAATGAAGAGTAAAACCTATTCAGTTTTGCTACTCGATGCCATAATAAAACTATTACTAAACCGATTGATTTTACAAACTGGAACGTCAAAAGATCTAATAGATCTCAGGTCGTGGATGGAGTTATGCCTTGGCGGCAAGAGGTAATGTAGACTGTGATTAGAATCTTTGATAATTGCATTAAACAATTTCTTGCAGCCGTTTTGATGGTGAGTGGAAAGATGTTCAATTCCACTGAGATTTAAAGCTTCCTCATATTTCAAATGGGGATAAATAATTCCAAATACGCGTTTCTGGACTCGTTCCAAATCTTGACTTAAATACTTGGGTAGGCTGTAGTGGAAAACCGGGACAGCATAGTCCAACACAGATCTTATACAGGTTAAGTAAAATGTGATTAGTTCTTGTATTGGGATTTTTGCTCTCTTAAGTTGAATAAGGAAATATATCGTTTTGGAGGCTTTCTTGACTAATTCAGTGATATATTTATTCCACGTAAGGTTGTTGCTAATGTTAAGACCAAGCACTTTAAAATCGGATACAACTTCTATGATTTGATTCTCAATTGAAATTGGGTTAAGCTCGGGTTGATTCCGTGCAAAAGAAATTCGTATCTCCTTACATTTATCAGCATTTAATTGCATTCTATTGATATTGGACCAATCTAAAATTTCATTTGCAATCAGTTGAGCTTCACTGTGCTCGCCTTGCAATACGACTTCCGACGCAGTGGTATCGTCAACGTATTTCCATAAGTTCTCACTATGTTTCTTCAAATCATTAATCATTATTAAGAAGAGCCAAGGGCCTAATTTGGTTCCTTGAGGAACACCAACCGGTACTTGGCCCCATTCAGAAAGGCAACTATTTGACAGCTTAACCCTTTGATATCTATCCGATAAAAAGTCAATAATCCAGTTGATGATACTAGTTGGTAAATCTAAAGCACCTAACTTGATCCTTAGGATACTATGATCGATGAAATCGAATGCCTTTTTATAGTCAAATAGAAACACTCGGATAGTTGCTCCTGTTCCGTCCAGCATTGAGGTCCAGTGATGTAACATGTCTATTAAAGCAAAGGTGGTTGAAGAATTAGGAATAGAACCAAATTGATTTGAGTCGATGGATTTCAGAACCGCAGGTTTGATATATCTATTTACCACACATTCTTCAGCTACTTTGGATATGCTCGGGGTCAGTGAGATAGGTCTGAGATCTTTTTCTAAGATTTGAACTGTCTTAGATTTAGGTATAGGTAAAACATTGGCTAGTTTCCACATCGATGGAAGTCGTTGTTGCTTGAAGGAAGCATTTAAGATGATACTAATTGGGAACGCTAATATAGCTGCATAATCACGAAGAAGCCAATTTGATATTTCATCAGGACCACAAGTTTTTGTAGGGTTCAGCTTTGATAAATATGAATACACTGTTTCTTCAGTGACTACTAAAAACTCAGGGTTGTTAACTTCTAGCTCGAAAGGAAGAAGGGGGCTGGGCAGTTTATATACAGATAAGGGATCCAAGAAAGCTTCATTGATCTTGTTAGCTAATTCTTGCTCAGATAATTGTTCGAGGTTTTCAATATCTATTATATTTCTAATATCACTAGATCTAGTAGATGCCATTCCACTTAAGCGCTTTACTTCTTTCCACCATTCCTTGGAGTCTGTTTGTTTCATTTGATGTACACGGAGTTTATAATAGTTTGATTTACAGATTTTCCTTTCTCGATTTACTTGGTTTCGAAGAGATTTAAAACTGCTCGAGTCAGGGCCATAGGTAGAAAAAGCTTTCTGCCTTTCAATGATCAGCGATTTGAAATGGTTCGTTATCCAGGGGGCATCGACAGGACATTTCTTTGATCGTGTCATCGGCATTAATATATTAACCCCAGTAAGGACTACGTTTTGAAACATGTTCGATAACTGATCACAATCATTAGTAGATGGAATAATTTGAGGCCAATCAATCGAGTTTATATATCTTCCCAGGGCTCGTTTGGAACTTGGATTAATATTACGCTTTAAGGTGGTGCCATTAGAGATTAGATCTTTAGCTCTTTCCTTTGGAGATGAAATGATAGTATTGTGGTCGGATAGTCCAAAAGGGGGCATTATTAGAGGTTTTTCATAATACTCGTGCAGATTAGTTAAGATGATGTCGAGAATCGCATTTCTGCGGGTAGGAGTCTGAACTATCTGTTTCAGGTGAAAATGATGTTTGATTCTGTTAACATTAAGACGATTAAAGTCACCTGCAACAATAAGTGCGCAGTTTAGAAATTTTGACTCTGCCTTTTTTAATGACTGGAATAAATGGTCTCTCATAGAATAATCATCTGCTCCAGGGGGGTGGTATACTATAGCTCCGATAATACATGAGAACTTGCGTGGAATACGAGTAGGTCTAAGGTCCAGCCATAGGATTTCGTGCTCCTGGCAGCAAGATAACTCTAAAATCTGTTTATATTTAACATCTCGGTTATCAACGTATGCACAAACCCCACCATGGGATTTGTTAATTCGGTCCCTACGTATCATTGAAAAACCGGGAATGTTCACCACGCTGTCAGGAATAGAAGCTTCAAGCCAGTTCTCTGTGATAAATACCAGGCTGATTTGATTCCGGTGAATAAATTCGCGAACTTCGTCAACTTTTGGAACGAGTGACATGACATTAGACAGCATTATTTTTGGGACATGTTCAAATTTAACAGCTTCATCTAGTGGAATTTTAACCAAGTTAAAATCGGACGTTTTATATTTATTCCGAAACCTCTTGCAGTTGTAGTTATGAGTTGTTATTCTTACAGGAATGGTTTGACCCAGGATCGTTTCTTTTTCCATAGTGGCATCTAATAATAATATTGGAAAACAACATTTTGTCTTTTCGCTTGCCCCTCCGACTCTTCCGAAAAACCTCCTTAGCTTGGCAGGTTTTTGTGGAATGTTTATCCCGTTGCCAATTTGGGTTCAGTGATTGTATTTTTTCCCTACTTGTAATACGCGTCGGGATGGGATACTGATTTGTAAGATCGTGCTGTGGTATTTGATGGAGCGTGTTAAAAATAATAGTTGGGAGGCCGCATCTATCCTCATTTTGCTTAGATACATGTTGACTCCTGCTTAGAGTAAGCAGGCAAAACTAAAAATAATGACTTGAGCCACTGTGATTTTTTTTCAATTTCCCCTGATTATTGGAAATAAAAATTTTGGAAAACAGTACTACTGTACATGCCAACTCAAATGATTCCTTTGGTGTTCAAAACAATCAGAAAATTTGATCATATTAACTTCATTATACATTTAACCCCTTAAGTGATGGTGTGGCTCAATGCACAATACTTTAATATTTAACTCTGTCTAATGTCAGATGATTTTATACTTGACAATGGGAAAGTGCTGGTACACAGTGGATTAATCATACTATGATGCTTGTGATGTTACTCTGAGTGTATATCCACACCGGGCAAGCTTGAAAAATATGCCTGACCACGGTGAGAATCGAACCTACGACCTTTGGAATACTAGTTTGAGTATGTGATATTTTGGAACAGAATCTAGTTCCTTCGATATCAATGTAATCTAATAATCATGCATATTTTTCAAGCTTGCCCGGTGTGGATATACACTCAGAGTAACATCACAAGCATCATATTCACCTAAGTACATTACACCAACACAGAAAAAATCATAATCATACTATGTTATAACATTGTAAAGTCCTTTAGGTTTCAAATGCCACACAATTGGTTAAATCATAGACAATCCGAAAGACATGTCTTCTGGATTGTCTATGGTTAAATTAACTTGAAATCTTAATTAAGCACAGATGGAGCTTGCTTTACACTGTGTACTTTCACAAATCTAACTTCCAGAATAAGGGCCTTCACTAGAAAGATCGAAGTTTTGCTTGTATTTTATATATCCTAGGGCTAGGCAACAACATAGCGCATATATATATATATATATATATATATATATATATATATATATATATATATATATATATATATATATATATATATATATATATATATACACAACTACATGAAAAATACAATGGATCATGAAAAATACATTGGCATTAATGGATCAACATTATGCATAAGCTTTTACTGTATGTTTCACAAGGTTCTCCTTGGGATGTTATTTCATGATGAGAACACAAACGAAGGCATTGAATATGTGATGGAAGAAATTAACAA